GCCTGGGCGACAGAGCAAGACTCTGTCTCCAAAAAAAAAAAAAAGAACTATGTCTTCAGAAAGCTCACATTTTTTGAAAAAGAGATAGAAACTTAAGAAGAAAACTAATAAATGTGATAATTGCATTCAGTGAGATATGTTGTGAGGACAATAAAACAAGATTATATGTCAGAGAGGAGCTCCATAGACTGTGTCAGGGAAGGAGTTGAGGCTTCAGTGACTGGAAGAAGCCAACACGTGAAGACCTAGTTGTAAATCATCTTACATGGAAGGAAGGGCAAAAGCAAAGGCATTAAGACAGGAATGAGTTAACTGTATTCCTGAAGCAGCAAGAAGCCAGTGTGGCTGGAGCAAAGTCAGTGCACAGGAAAAGGATAGGAAATGAGGGCCTGGAGCTAGAGCAGCCTGCACAGCACAGTAAGCAGTTTGGACTTTATTGGGTGTGAAATGTGAAGTCTTTCAAGGGTTTTAACCTGGGAAGTGCTTTGGAGAGAAGTGAGGAGTGTTGTATTATATAGTTTATATTTTTTAAAGATTACATTTTTCTAGTTATAGTTATTATAGTTCCAGAAACTATATTTTAGGAAAACCAGATCACCCCAGTTAATAAGAGAAAGCTTTTTACAAAGAATGCCAAGCCATTTCAGACTAAAGAAAAATAAAGAGACTTGGCAACCAAACACAATGTCTTATTCTGAATTTGGCTCTTCATCCAAAAAAAATTCCATAAAAGATATTGTTGGGATAATTGGCGGCAATTAAATATGGTCTCTAGATTAGACAATATTATTATAGTAAATGTTAAATTTCCTGATTCTAATAACTGATTACAAAAGAGAACAACCTGGCCGGGCACAGTGGCTCACGCCTGTAATCCCAACACTTTGGGAAGCCAAGGTGGGCAGATCACCTGAGGTCAGGAGCTCGAGACCAACCTGGCCAACATGGTGGAACCCCGTCTCTACTAAAAATACAAAAATTAGCCAAGCGTGATGGTGGGCGCCTGTAATCCCAGCTACTCAGGAGGCTGAGGCAGGAGAATCACTTGAACCCAGGAGGTGGAGGTTGCAGTGAGGTGAGATTGCACCACTGCACTTTAGCCTGGGTGACAGAGCAAGATTCTGTCTGGAAAAAAAAAAAAAAAGGAGAACAACCTTATTCTTAAGAAATGCACACTAAACTGTTTAGACACAAGGGGATAATGTCTGCAACTTACTCTCAAATGATTCAGATAAAAATAATATATACATTTAGGTATATATAAGATGTGTGTGTGTATATATATATAAATGTATACACATATAGAGAATGAGAAATGTGCCAAAATATTACCAATCGGTGAATCTAAGTAAAGAGAATTCATTGTATTATTCTTGCAACTTTTCAGTGAGTTTGAAGTTATTTCAAAATAGAAAGTATTTACAGTTTAACTTTTATCTTTTTTTTTAGATGGCATCTTGCTCTGTCACCCAGGCTAGAGTGCAGTGGCACAATCTCAGTGGCCTCCCGGGTTCAAGCGATTCTCCTGCCCCAGCCTCTCGAGTAGCTGGGATGACAGGCAGCTGCCACCATGCTCGGCTAATTTTTTTTAAATTTTTAGTAGAGACGGGGTTTCACCATCTTGGCCAGGCTGGTCTTGAACTCCTAACCTCATGATCCACCCGCCTCAGCTTCCCAAAGTGCTGGGATTACAGACATGAGCCACCGCACTCGGCCTACAATTTAATTTTTTTAATTTAAAAAAATTAGCTAAGGGAAGTATAAAAATAACAGAAATAAGAAAATTAGCATTTTATAAGCTCTAACAGAATGTTTGATTCTGGCTAACATATTAGGTAAATATTTGGTGGGGTACTGACATTTACCCAGCCAAAGTAGTAACATCACACAGATTATTTTCTAGGCTAGAGGTTTACAAACATAGCCCACTTGGCAAATCAGGCCTACTACCTGTTTTTGTAAATAAAGTTTTATCACAACACGGACATGCCCATTTGTGAATTGATTGTCTATAGTTGTTCTCACACAACATAGTTGAGATGCATGGTTGCAACATGGGCTGTTTAGCCTACAAAGTCTAAAATACTTACAACCTGGCCTTTTAAGAAAAGATTTGCTGGCCAGGTGTGGTGGCTTACGCCTGTAATCCTAGCACTTTGGGAGGCCAAGGTGGGCTGATCACTTGAGGTCAGGACTTCAAGACCAGGCTGGTCAATGTGATGAAATCACATCTTTGACAGGCGCTGTGGCTCACGCCTGTAATCCCAGCACTTTGGGAGGCTGAGGTGGGCGGATCACAAGGTCAGGAGTTCGAGACCAGCCTGGCCAATATGATGAAACCCCATCTCTACTAAAAATACAAAAATTAGCCAGGCATGGTGGCTCACACCTGTAGTCCCAGCTACTCAGGAGGCTGAGGCAGGAGAATTGCTTGAACCTGGGAGGCAGAGGTTGAAGTGAGCTGAGATCCCGCCACTGCACTCCAGCCTTGGTGACAGAGCGAGACTTAGTCTCAAAAAAAAAAAAAAAGAAACCCCATCTCTACTAAAAATACAAAAATTAGCCGGACGTGGCGGTGGGAGCCTGTAATCCCAGCTACTCAGGAGGCTGAGGTAGGAAAATCGCTTGAATCCAGGAGGCAGAGCTTGTAGTGAGCCCAAATCACGCCACTGCACTCCAGTGTGGGCGAAAGAGCAAGACTCTGTCTCAAAAAAAAGAAAAAAGAAAAGATTTGCTAACCCCTGTCTAGTCTCAAGGAGAGCAGACAGTCATCACCACATCCCAGTTGTCAACCTCAGCATTCCTCAGGATGGTTACCCAGGTATGTCTGCTGGAGGATACAATGTGGAGTAGACAACAGCATCTATAATGTACTCCAGCCAAAAATACCTAATTTGAATCCACCCAGTTAAAAGCTATGATACCACAAAGAAGCAACTAGACAAATCCAGAAGATGGTAAATTATGTAGATTCACTGGCTTGTCATCTTCAACAAGACTATCATGAAAACAGAAACTATGGAAGATTAAAAGAGATTCAAGAGAGCCGGGCATGGCGGCTCATGAGATCTCAGCACTATGGGAGGCCGAGGCAAGAAGATCACTTGAACTCAGGGCTTCAAGACCAGTCTGGGCAACATAGTGATACCTCTTCTCTACGAATAATTTAAAAATTAGCTGGGCATTGTGGCACGTGCCTGTAGTTCCAGCTACTCAGGAGGTTGAAGTGAAAGAGTCGCTTGAGCCCAGGAAATCGAGGCTGCAGTGAACAGTGATTGCACCACTGCACCTCCACCCTGGGTGACAGAGTGAAACTCCATCGGAAAAAAAAAAAAAAAAAGGAGGCTCAAGAAACAACAACCAGGCCTGGCGTGGTGTCTCATACCTGTAATCCCAGTACTTTGGAAAGCTGAAGGGGGTGGATCACTTGAGGTTGGGAGTTCAAGACCAGCCTGGCCAACATGGTGAAAACCCATCTCTACTAAAAACACAAAAATTAGCCGGGCATGTGGCAGGTACCTGTTATCCCAGGTACTCAGGAGGTTGAGGCAGGAGAATCACTTGAACCCTGGAGGCAGAGGTTGCGGTGAGCTGAGATCGCGTCACTACACTTCAGCCTGGGCAACAGCAAGCCCGTCTCAAAAATGAAATAAAAAGAAACAACAACCTGATGTCATGTGGGATCTAGATTGGGTCTTGCTTTGTTTCTGTTTTTTTGTTGTGACTGCTTTTGTTTGTCTGTTTGTTGAGACAGAGCCTTGCTCTGTTGCCCAGGCTGGAGTGTAGTGACATGATCTCAGCTCACTGCACACTCTGTCTTCCAGCTTCAAGCAATTCACATGCCTCAGCCTCCAGAGTAGCTGGGACTACAGGTGTGTGCCACCATGCCCTGCTAATTTTTTCTATTTTTACTACAGACAGGGTTTCACCATGTTGGCCAAGCTGGTTTCGAACTCCTGGCCTCAAGTGATCTGCCTGCCTTAGCTTCCCAAAGTGTTGGGATTACAGATGTGAGTCACCATGCCTGGCGGGTCTTGCTTTGAACAAACCAACTAGAAAGGACATCTGGGGAACAACTGGGATAACTGAAATTGAGGTTAGGTATTAGAAGAAATGAAAATGTATCAACATGGTAAAATTGAGATTAACTGGAAAAAAATCAGATTATGAAATAGTATGTACAGTATAATTTCACCTGGTAAGTATATATGTATATACATACATGAAGTATATATCTCACACTATACTAGAAGGATATACATTGAAGGTTAATCTTTTGGAAATATAAGGATTTTATTTTCTTAATCTGCTTATCTGCTATATCTGACTTTCTACAAAACACATATAAATAATTTTAAATTTTTGAATAATTTTGAATTTTTACTTGTTATTTATTTATTGAGATAGAGTCACTCTGTCACCCAGGCTGGAGTGCAATGGTACGAACTTGGCTCACTGCAACCTCTGCCTTCCGGGTTCAAGCGATTCTCCTGCCTCAGCCTCCCAAGCACCTGGAATTACAGGCATGTACCACCATGCCTGGCTATTTTTTTTTCTTTTTCTTTTTTTTTTTTTTTTTTTTGAGACAGAGTCTTGCTCTGTCGCCCAGACTGGAGTGCAGTGGCGCGATCTTGGCTCCTGCAACCTCTGCCTCCCAGGTTCAAGCCATTCTCCTGCCTCAGCCTCCCAAGTAGCTGGGACTACAGGCATGTGCCACCACGCCCGGCTAATTTTTTGTATTTTTAGTAGAGAGAGACGGGGTTTCATCGTGTTAGCTAGGACGGTCTTGAGCTCCTGACCTCGTGATCCACCCGCCCAGGCCTCTCAAAGTGCTGCGATTACAGGCATGAGCCACCTTGCCCAGCAACTTTTTCTATTTTTAGTAAAGACAGGGTTTCACCATGTTGGCCGGTCTGATCTTGAACTCCTGGCCTCAAGTGATCTGCCCACCCTGGCCTCCCAAAGTGGTGGGAATACAAGCGTGAGCCACTGTGCCTGGCCAATTTTAAATTTTTAAATAAATAAATTGCTCTAGCTGCTCTAGATGGATTACACAGGCAATCAAGAGTGGAAGCCGGTTGTCTAGTTGATCAGCAATATGCTTTTCAGTATCTGTTTCCCAAGTCTAGGTGGAAGCCAGATTCTTGCTGGAAATGAGGCTTCTCCTTCATGAGAATCCCACATACATGGCCACAGAGATCTTATGGCTGGGAGCACAAACTGGGTATGTTAAAGGGCTTGATATTCTCCAGGGTATTTTGTTGTCTAACAAAGCTGGTTAGAGATTTGCACAGGTCCACAGAGCTGCTCAGTAGGGGAAAATCTGGAGGAGTGTTATCCAGCAGCCTAAAGGCAAGGCACCAGCCCTCTCTGAAGTTATACAAGGGCCCAGCCAGGAAAATCACAAGTACACACACATACCCAACATCAGTTAATGACAAGATGAGAAAGAAAATGTACTTTAAAATTTGATCTTAAAACAATTCACACCTCTTAAAAATTATGCAGAATAAGCTGGGTGTGGTGGCTCATGCCTGTAATCCCAGCACTTTGGGAGGCCGAGGTAGGTGGATTACAAGGTCAGGAGTTCGAGACCAGCCTGGCCAATATGATGAAACCTCGTCTCTACTAAAAATACAAAAATTAGCCAGGCGTGGTGGCACGTGCCTGTAGTCCCAGCTGCTCAGGAAGTTGAGGCAGGAGAATTGCTTGAACCTGGGAGGCAGAAGTTGCAGTGAGCCGAGATGGTGCCACTGCACTCCAGCCTGGGCAACAGAGTGAGACTCTGTCTAAAAAAAGAAAAAATATATATATAATAATAATAAGCAAACTTTGCAGCTTGAGGAATTAAAGTGTCTCACAAACGGAATGAAATCCCTCAGGAAAGCCTAGTGAAGAAAAATGTCAGCTATGACCCTAACTCTGGGAGGTAAGGGAGAGATAGCCAGGCCGCGGAGAGGAGCAGCCAGCAGCCCAACGTCTGGAGAGGCGAATAAAAGGACTCCAGCCGCCTGAGAAGGGATTACATTTTCTGATTGTTGTGAAAAGAATTCCCCTTTCCTAGCTAATAAGGCCAATTTCTAAGTGAAGCTCAAAACAGAATTGTATGGGAGGCTCAGAATGAGAAGAACAAAGTAAATCCCTGGCAAGGGATTAAGAGTTTCCTCTCCCCCCTCCACCCTACCCTACTGCCTGCTCCCCTGGAGGCCCAGGAGCCAATCCTCTAAAGAGAATTCTACGAGGGGCAGGAAGAAGTGGATGATAATGCTGAAAGACAGAGCATTGAATATTCACTCATCTGAAAATCCCCAAAGACATTCCTTTCTAAGAAGATGGTCAGAGTAATCCATACTGGCCAACTGATTTAATGTGCCACACTGACAAACCCTTTCCTAAGAATTTATAGCCTCAACTAAAAACAGTTGTTTGGACAAACTGTCAAACTCCTGCAGGGCCCACTTGACATCTGTCTTTGTCAGGAGAATGGCCATTACTTTGAAAAGGCTAAGGGTTTCTGGTTTCCTGCTGCTCCCAGGAGATCTGCAGAGTAAGCGAAGTCTCAAAGCCTCGGTGGTTACCATTAGGCAGAACCCAATAGAAGTCCTCGGGAGAGCCATGTTTAAATTCAGCACTTGCCCAAGGTTGGCTAATCGCTGGAGGTCAGGAGTTCCAGACCAGCCCGGCCAACATGGCAAAACCTCGTCTCTACTAAAAATACAAAAAATTAGCCGAGCATGGTGGCAGGCACCTGTAATTCTAGCTACTTGGGAGGCTTAGGCAGGAGAATGCTTGAACCCTGGAAGGGGAGGCTGCAGTAAGCCAAGATTACACCACCGCACTCCAGCCTCGGCAGCAAAGCAAGACTCCATCTCAAAAAATTAACTAATTAATTAATTAATTAATTCAGCGCTTGCTATTCCATTCCCACCTTCTTGGCCTTTGTCTGGATTTCTGCTACAGCTATCCTGTTGCTCTGCTTAGAATTCAATCCCGTGTTCCTGGCCTCACCAGTGTACCCAGCCTCAGCACCAGAATAGTCCTCCTCAATACAGCTTTCATTGGGTCCGCCTTGATGAGTTCAGGCAGCAGCGAACGCGGAATGTGATGTGGTGGATCAATCCCTGAGAACAGAGCCAAAGCTGGGGTGAAGAGAGACAGCTGACCAAGAGACAGACTGCCCGGGGCACGACAGGAGGGCAAGACTAGAACAGAGAGTACAAGATCACCCGGAAACATGGCGGCCTGGGTAAGAAGCCGGGAAGGCATGAAAATGTGCAGAACTGGCAGCAAGGACCGTGGCAAAGAGCACAGGATTCAAAGGTATTAATAGAACTAGGCTCACATCCTGGCTCTATCCCTTCTGAACCTCAGTTTTCTTATCTGTAAAATGACACATTAATACCTGCTGCAGTGCACACTGCGATGTGCTTCCCAGACACCTCCCAGGAATGAAGGACTCAGTCTCCCTCTGCTGAGAGTGCAGGGTTAGTCCTCTCTGAGGATTGGCTGAAGAAGACTGCCCCACCCAAGGTCACACCTTCTTCCTGGGGCCGCCCACAGCCAATGACCGAACAATAGGGGAGGAACAAGTGCCCAGCCCTACCCCCAACGTGAGGCAACTGCGGGAATCTTCCGCTACTGAATCCTCCCGGGGTGGGGGAGTAGTGTTGGGGTTACGTCAGTCCCCTCTTCAGTTCGGCTTCCTGACGCTCTCTTCCAGTGTGGAACGCAGGCGCACGGTTTGCTCTCTGAGTCCGCTTCCTGGGCAGCCCAGCTTGCCACAGCTATCTCATCCAATCATGAGGTTCCGTTAACCTAGTTTTGTTTTGTTTTGTTTTTGTTTTTTTGTTTATTGTTTATTCTTTATTTGTTTTGAGGCAAGGTCTCACTCTGTTACTTAGGCTGGAGTGCAGTGGCACGATCTCGGCTCACTGCAATCTCCACCTCCTGGTTTCAAGAGATTCTCATGGCTCAACCTCCAGAGAAGCTGGAATTACAGGCATGTGCCACCACTCCAGGCTAATTTTTGTATTTTTTGGTAGAGTTAGGGTTTCACCATGTTGGCCATGCTGGTCTGGAACTCCTGACCTCAGATGATTTGCCGGCCTCAGCCTCCCAAAGTGCTGGGATTACTGGCATGAGCCACCAAGCCTGGCCCGTGAACTATTAATAGTAAATGTAAAGCATCCAGCCACAACACGTGGTATAGGCTGAGTATCCCTAACCCGAAAATCCGAAATCCGAAATGTTCCAAAATCCAAAACTTTTTGAGAGCCAACATAACACCGCAAGTGGAAAATTCCATACCTGACTTCACATGACAGGTCACAGTGAAAATGCAGGTGCACAACCCAGTTTATTTAACATACCCAAGGAACAAAGACCCTCCTAGTGCCCTTCAGCTGCACTAGGTGCAGGCTGGACGCACCAAGGGCAGGTTCCCCTCAATGATGTCCCACGTGGATTCAAGACCTATGTGCATTATTTATTGCAATTTTTTTACTTATTCTCTGCTCTATGGTATAAAAATATTGAAAGATAATCAAATTATTGAAAGAGGGAAAGTTCTTTTTTACACAAGTACAATATAAAAAATGCTAATGGAATAACAGAATTACAAAATCATCATTTTTCAACACCTGATGACATAATGAATGTAGGCACTGAACTTTAATATCTCCTGAAGCAATCAGATGAAAAGCTGATGAGGAACTTCATAAGGAAGGGGTCACAGCAACAATTCCTGAACTCATTTGCCCATCTTTTTGTTTGTTTGTCTTTGTTTTTAATTTTTGGTTCTGTAAATGGTGTCTGTGTTACCCAGGCTACAGTGAAATGGCATGATCATGGCTCACTGCAGCTTCAGACTCCAAGGCTCAAGCAATCCTCTCGCCTTGGCCTCCCAAAGAGCTGTGATTACAGGCATGAGCCACTGTGCCAGGCCAACTGCCCAGTGTTAATATCAGTAAAACTGAGACAATTAGATGACATTATGTACACACAAGGCAAAAGGAGAGTCAAAAATAATATAAGTAGTTTATTTGGGCCAAGTTTGAGGATTGCAACCTGGAAGCATAAATTCAAATTGCCTTGAATATATGCTCTGGTTAGCAGCAAGTACAAGTGGATATTTAAAGGAAAAAAGAAGAGGCAGTTTCTAAATTGTTTACCAAGAATTTACAGTAAAATAACACAAGCTAGCCGGGTACGGTGGCTCATGCCTGTAATCCCAGCACTTCGGGAGGCCGAAGCATGCAGATCACGAGGCCAGGATATTGAGACCATCCTGGCTAACACAGTGAAACCCCATCTCTACTAAAAATGCAAAAAATTAGCTGGGCGTGGTGGCATATGCCTGTAGTTTCAGGAACTTGGGAGGCTGAGGCAGGAGAATGGCTTGAACCCAGGAAGTGGAGGTTGCAGTGAGCAGAGATCGCGCCACTTTGTGTGTGTGTGTGTGTGTGTGTGTGTGTGTGTGTGTGTGTCCAGCCTGGGCGACAGAGTGAGACTCCACCTCAAAACAAGCAAAACATAAGCTATTGATTGGCAATATGTTGTTTTTGTATCACAAATTCCAGGAACGTGAGAATAATGGATAAGGCAGCTAGTCAGGAAACTACAGGAAAGAAAAGAAAGAACAAAATGTCATTAAACAATGGGCCGTGCTGGGATTACAGGTGATTTGTAATCCCAGTACTTTGGGAGGCCGAGGCAGGCGGATCACATGAGGTCAGGAGTTCGAGACCAGCCTGGCCAACATGGCAAAACCCCATCTCTACTAAAAATACAAAAAATAGCTGGGCGTAGTGGTGAGCACCTGTAATCCCAGCTACTCCAGAGGCTGAGGCAGTAGAATTTCACTTGAACCCAGGAGGCAGAGGTTGCAGTGAGCTGAGATCGTGCCATTGCACTCCAGCTGGGCAACACAGTGAGACTCCATCTCAAAAAAAAAAAAAGAAAAGACATACTGCAACTACAAGCTGAACAGAATTAAGAAAGCCTTGAAGACTACAGAAAGTGCCAACAAGCAGACAGACAAACTGAAGGAGTTTTATGGACAAGCGTTATGCCATTTGGAATGCTATGATGAATGCTTAGCAGTATACAGAGATCTCACCTGACACTCCCAAGATGATTATGATGAGGAAAGGAAAACAAACCTTTCAGCAGTTGTTACTCCCCAAAGCAATTGGGGAAAAGTTCCAGAGAACTTGGGCCTCCAAGAAGGCACACATGAGCTGTGCTACAACACTGCACGTGCGCTGGTTGGACAAGGCCAGCTGAACCAGGCCATGAAAATCCTACAAAAAGCTGAAGATCTTTGCCGCTGTTCATTATCAGAAGACTCTGATGGGACTGAGGAAGACCCACAGGCAGGACTGGCCATCATTCATTGTCAAATGGCCTATATTCTGCAGCTTCGGGGTCGAACAGAGGAGGCTTTGCAACTTTACAGTCAAATAATAAAACTGAAACCAACAGATGTGGGATTACTAGCTGTAATTGCAAATAACATCATTACTATTAACACGGACCAAAACGTCTTTGACTCCAAGAAGAAGGTGAAATTAATCAACACAGAAAGAGTGGAGTTTGAGCTTTCCAAGAAACAACTACAAGCTATAGAATTTAACAATGCTTTACTTGCTATGTACACAAACCAGGCCAATTAATGTCACAAAATATCCGCTAGTTTATAGTCCCAAAGTCCCGAGCATCTCCCACCTGTGTTAATCCAAGCTGCCCAGGTTTGCCTGGAAAGCAGCACACAAAAACAATAGAGCTGCTTCAGGAATTTTCAGATCAATATCCAGAAATGCAGCTGAAATGAAGCTGATCATGGCACAGCTGAAAATTTCTCAAGGTAATATTTCTAAGCTTGTGTAATATTGAGAAGCATAGAGGAGTTAGAGCAGAAACCAGGCATGGTGTCTGTATTTGTGATCATGTATAGCCATGAAGAAGATATTGATATTGCCACTGAGGTCTTCACACAAACTATTCAGTGGTGTCAAAACCATTGGCCCAAATCTCCTGCTCATTTGTCCTTGATAAAAGAAGCTGCAAACTTCAAACTCAAATATAAACAGAAGAAGGAGGCAATTAGGGCCGGGCGCGGTGGCTCACGCCTGTAATCCCAGCACTTTGGGAGGCCGAGGCGGGCGGATCACAAGGTCAGGAGATCGAGACCATGGTGAAACCCCGTCTCTACTAAAAAATAGAAAAAAATTAGCCGGGCGCAGTGGCGGGCGCCTGTAGTCCCAGCTACTCGGGAGGCTGAGGTAGGAGAATGGCGTGAACCCGGGAGGCGGAGCTTGCAGTGAGCCGAGATTGCGCCACTGCACTCCAGCCTGGGCGACAGAGCGAGACTCCGTCTCAAAAAAAAAAAAAAAAAAGGAGGCAATTAGTGACCTAGAATAGCAATGGAAACAAAATCCAAAAGATTTTTACACCCTGGCACAGCTTATTTCTGCTTACTCACTTGTAGATCCAGAGAAAGACAGAGCTCTTTGTGAACGCTTGTCATTATCTGAAAGCATGTCTCTAAAAGTAGATGTCAAGGCTCTTGAAAATTCTCCTGGTGCTACATACATTTGGAAGAAGGGTGGAAAAGTTACTGGAGATGGTTAACGAAAGGGGCAAGGGTGGGGAAATTTGAAAAAGAGAAAAAGACGGGAAAATTGCCTAAGAATTATGATGCAAAAGTTACCCCAGATCCAGAAAGATGGCTACCAATGCAAGAACATTCTTATGACGAGGGAAGAAAGAAGGGTAAAAATAAGGATCAGATTGGAAAAGGGACCCAGGGAGCAACTGCAGGAACTTCATCAGAACTGGATGCCAGAAAAACTGTGAGCAGCCCATCCACCTCCCGAAGACCTGGCAGTGCAGCGACACTATCTGCCTCTACAAGTACCATCATACTCCCAAGACACAGAAACCTGCAGGGGCTCCAGCAACAAAAAAGAAACAGCAACAGAAAAAGAAGAAAGGTGGAAAAGGTAGCTGGTGATGAGAATATTCTTGTTGCAGGCTGTTTTTTCAGCTAGTCTCAGGAATATAATTTTAAACTAGTCTAGGAATGTAATAAAGGTAACACACCAAGAAGAAGAAAAAAAAAAAAAAAAAAAAAGAGGCTGCAGTGCGCTATGAATGAACCACCACACTCCAGCCTGGGCAACAGAGAGAGACTCCATCTAAAACAAAAAGTTCATTTAAGTTTTATAGGAAAATCACTGAAGGTTCAAAAGACAAACTATTCACTCAAAAGGAAATGATCTCACAAGGCTTAAATGTCTTCTAATCCAATGCTGGTTGACAGAATCAAATGTGGTGTGACTATTTTTAATTATAGGCTTGATTTCTCCCTAAAATCAGAGAAAATAGAGTTGGAGTCCATATGGGAAGGAGAAAGAAGGGATAAAAGATGAGGAAGGCAAAGGCCAGATCACGGAAGGCTCTTATATCATCCCCAAATATTTGGAACAGGGGCCACAGGAAAAAAAAAAAA